ATTTTCCTTTTCCTTGCTTGTTTCATCTTCCTCTAACTGATCAACGTCATCTAGTTCCTCTTCCTCTTCTTCTTCTTCTTCATCATCATCTTCTTCTTCCTCCTCCTCCTTCCCCTCCTTTTCCTCCTCTTCGTCCTCTCCCTCTTCTTCTTCCGTCAAGATACTCTCGGCAGCAGATTCAGATATGCAATTAGTACCCCAAACATTAGCTGCTACCAAACGACGCTCAGCACCTTGAGAGACTAGTTTCGAAGTTGCTCTGTGAACACGAGGACTCAGGCTGACTTTCATATTACAACCGTTACTAAGATTGGATTCCTTTGGAAAGTCTTTGTTAAGCCTCATTACCACTGGCTTAGGCATTACTGGATGAGTGGACGCAGGTCCCAATTGGCTCGGGGCGATTTTATGCCAGACTGGCAAGCCACTCGTAAGCAAGGGAGATGCAGAGGTAGGTCTGCTTGCGTCAATACAGATGGAATTGTCGGCGTCCCCAACTGAGTCAGAAGGAATAGAAAGACCAGGATGACAGGCGAAACGAATAGGAGCGGTGATTGGTACAGGAATGACTAAGGGTACAGGACAGGCAATTTGAGCCGTGATATGGAGAATTCCGATTTCAGATAATCCATGGGTCGATGTAGCGGGAGTGATCGAGGACATAGAGGTCTGGCTTGGCCCTGGCATTTTATCAGCTGATTTCTGAGGAAAAGTATCATTGCGCACGTTCACTGGTTGGTCTAAACAGGTCTGTAGTAAGGCGGAATTACTAGTGGACTGGGCGGTACGTGGAGTAGATGGAGAGAGCGTTAAAGTGATAGGCAATAGAGCTTCCAGACGGTACTCAGAAATTGGCAGTCCACCGTCGTCTTCGGGTGGGGACCATGTCAATGTTACACGATTTGGACGTGGCTTACCACGCAGCTGCATTAGTGGAAAAGAGAAGCCGAAATTATGCACAATAAATTGGAGGTGATAGGCATACACAGAAGATTCGACTTGCGCCTAGAAAATTAGTAATTCATCTACATAGTAAAATAAATCTTAATCACAAAAAAGCCAACATAAAAAATAAGACAATAAAATTACATTTTATATATAAGAAAAATCATTTTTATTTATAGGAAAGCAAGGCCCTATAAAATGATGATGCACCTCATGGACCAAAGGCCCGATATAAAACTGGATATGTAAATTGGGAAATGGAAAAGCTTAGGAGATTTTGGAAACTAAAACCCCGTTACTTTCTGCAAAGATTAGCAATGATCATAGTCAACAAGAAGTTTACAGCAATCGTGACCATGGGAAGAAACAAAAATATATATGGCATAAATCAATGATGAAGTCGAATAAATAGGAATTCACTTAAATCTATGGCTCCCTCAATGGCGAAGCATATAGGGGCAAATATGCCCTAAGGCAGCATAAAAACCATTCAGAATACGATGATATATTGCTTCAACCGTTATATAAATAAACAAATATATATTCATCGACTTTATTCTTCTCAGGACGACCCACAAATCAGCAAATGTCGATTTAATTAGCCATGACAAATTTATAAGTACATTTAGCTGGTAATTTTGATATCACATCGCATGTATCAATTTGTTTAGAAAGCTAAGCGTATCTGCGCATGCCTATTGAACTATATCAGCTTACTATTTTGCATGCTTGCATGCATGTTTAATAATTTTCTTGAGCTTTACAAATGAGGATATTTGAAATGCTCACTCTCAGGTTCTGTGGGCTAGATGAGACATCAGGGAGAGTGGACAAAATGATGACATCACTCCATCGACTCTGCCCGTCAGCAGAAGCAGCAGCTAATCTGAACCGGTAACGAGTGTTTCGGCGCAGATTGGTTACGCGGTGCTTGCATGCACAGCCCGTGAAAACCGTGACGAAGCCATGGCCCATCGCCTCATCCTCGGTCTCCAAAATGTATGTCAGAGGCATCGGTCCAAGAAATGTGGCCCCTCCTTGGCTAGGTGACAGACCATCATAATATGACGTCGAGCCAAACTCATAGCATCCAGAAGGAGTGTCTGTACGTGAGATAATAAAGCACATATTAATGAAGAAAACCGAGACCAATAATTTCACAAAGTCCATTGGATTACTTTAAGCAATCTTTGTAGACAATTATTTCCAGGCGGAAAGAAGCATTTACGTCATGAGCTTAACCAAAAATTTGCGTATAAAGAACGATGATTAGGACTAGATTGGTAGTTAGGATGTCGTATATTCGAGCGATATATGCTAGATTCAAGCACATGAGTAAACTGGACAGCAATAAGTGAACACTAGAGTATAAAAATAGTAAGTTTACATGCTTACCTGGAATACAAGGTGGTTGCCAGATCAATTCAATTGAGTGTACATCTGCCTTGACGAGGTTTGGTGGTCCTGGCTGTGGAGGAGGACTACCCGCGGTGCAAGTGCGTATCACTTCACTCCAAGGGCTTAATGAGAAGGAAATTGAAAAATAAGAATGGAATGAATGCGAAGGACAGAGCTAGAAAATAAGAGTATTTTATCAAAGTATAAAGGTGTACAAGTATAAATGGCAGATACAAGAAAATGTATTCACAGTGATTATTGGAGCGTATGATAACTTAAAAAAATACATGCAATCCATTGTCAAATATCGAATAGTATTAACAGCTTGTCAGCACACTCAAAGGCTTGCCAGCAGGAAAACATGAAGGGATATGT